CAGTACATGTGAACTTTCATAGGACCATTACAACAAAGTGAGCTAAGCATAGGTTTATTAAAGGATGTTATAGATGCTTCAGATACGTTATACATTCTTCTATGCTGTGTGGCAGACAAGCAAAATGAACTCTAATCACTTAAGATTAATGGAAATTATGTTCTCAGCTCATGTTATAACAGAGAACATCAGCAATCATGCATTCTTTCTTTATTGCATCCCAAGCAGAATAACTGTTGTAAAATAATTTAAGACTTTAAGATTGGCTGCTCTATGCTGCAGTGACACTGCCTTTATTTTATTTGTATTGTTAAAAAAAAAAAAAGTAAAAGAATCCAACTTCTTGTGAAATAAACCTATTTATTGACATTTTTGAAACAGTGATAAGCACAGTGGTCATATGATATTAGAATTGACATTTTTATTTTATCTAAAATGATGCTAGGAATCCAAAACATGATACTCATAAAATGATATTCAATGATCTTTAAAATAATCTTCCTTCACTTGTGGTATTTCGTTGTTGCTGTTTACCTCTTAATTTCCATTACCTCTTTAGAACTAAAAAGTAGTGGTTGTCCCATCCTTTGCCTACACAGCAAAATGAGGAAATAATTGTTGTGCAAGATAGTGCAATTGTATTAGTTAGAAGTGGTTAGAAAAAGTAATAGTGATAGTGAAGCAGCAGTAATGGAGGCCTCAACATATACAAACATGCTGTTTTGAAGAGCTTGTTTCTTCATCTGCTAGAGTGTAAGTATGGTTTATCTTTATCCTTTTATTGTTCTTTGATATGGCCTAACTTGGATGTCGGCAGTAGCTCTTTGACTTTATTTTGTCAAACGCTAGTTGAGCTCACCTAGAAATTCATCTTCTATAGGGAAGATCTTGACCGGAGAAGTGTCTTGCTGAGAACAGGTAGTTCATGAACTTTTTCCTATTTCTATTTTGACTCTCAGTGCCTTTGCTCTGAGTATCTCTTTTTAGTACTTATATATTTTGCAATAATCCAAAAACACAGATTTTACCAGGTTGTATTTCAGACATCTGCCTTAAAGGGTTTAAGCTTTAGAGCCATGGAAACTAGAGTCTTTCTAGTGACTGGTGTTCCTTCCCTGCAATACCTACTGCAAGCTTCTGGTGGTCCAAAAATTGAATTTCTCTCTCCATATGTTCTCTGTGGAGTGATGAACTTCTTCCACACCATATTCTTCTCATGAAATGATTCTGAGGCTTCTGTCATGGTGCCATTGACAAAATGCAGAATGCATGTTTTGACTGTGCTAAATGTTGTGTGTTAACTCTGAGTGTTCTCATCCTAAACAGAGATTTGAAGTTAATGCTTAAATGTCAGTTGCTCTCCCATGGCATATGGCTACATAAAGCTTAAAAAAAAAAAAAAGTAGTTTATAGTAACAGATGGGTTTGAACTCTACTTGGAGCTATTGAATACTTTTTAATTTTTAATTGACAATTAATCTTTCACACAGCATTTAACTAACTGTTCTGTCATATTCTTTCAAAATATATGATGCTTTTCCAATACAATTGTCTAGGAAATTTCATGTGTGGTTAAAATCAAACAGTCATTGGAACATGAAAAAATGTAATTTTACTGAAATTTTGATGCATGTTTGTTGATGTCCAGAATTTTACATTTAAAAAGAAAATAAAACATTTTTATCATCATCTTTTTCTCTTGGTTACCAAGAGAAAATAACAAGCAAATGAAAATAACCCATAAGGAAAAAAAAAGAACATACGAAGTAACTACTGGGTATGAAATACTTTTGTTTCTTAGCTCTGGATTAACTTTGATCTTAATTTTGAAACACCATAAATGAGTCTCAATAGTAGTTGTCACCCGTATGTGTACCTGTTGTGAATAAAGACAGCTCCTAAGCATTTAAACTGTACTGTTCATCCCATAGTGGTCTTTGCATAATTTCTAGAGAACAGGCTATAAAACGTTGTTAAAATACTTCATACAAAGTTTATTTTTCCTTTTAAGTGTGTTGAAGAGGGAGACCTTAAACAGCAATTTTGTAGATTTGTGATTTATCCTTCACGTTGTTCAGCTATTACATTTATACATTTTAGTCCTGACTAACAGCTAAGTCCCCTTAATGTTACAAAGGAGATAAAATTTAAAGCTATGCTATCTGCTATAGGCGTCTCTTCCATAAACTCTGCATCCACTGTTCTATCGGACATGTACATCGAAGAAGCAAGCCATGCCAGTACAGAAGATTTTGAACCATAGCCTTCAACTGCCTGGTCCTAAATAATGTCACCTTTATTCATGTTCTCAAGAACTGGAGTATCACTTGATTTTTGTTTTAATTAACAATTAAATCAGTATTGTTTGATAACAGGGTAGGAGAATGCTTTAAGTATCACAGTCGTTGAATGTGTCAAGCTGGGATAGATCATAAGCAACAGTAGGATGAATTTAGGCTTAGCCCTGGTAGTTTAGCATTGGGCTATTTATTAATATAGAAGAAATCCAGACAGCATGTTAGTATAAAGGTCCATGGTGATTTGCTGGAGATTACTGATATTTGCTTTTGCCTGTTTCCCTTCAGTCAGTTCACTTCATATCCCTTTCCCTTCTCCATATTCTTTTCTCCCTGTTCTCCCATTCTTCTTTGGGCATGTCCTCTTTTTCTTTGTCTCTAATTAACATCATTTAATTACAGAAGACTGTTAAGGGATGGAAAAAACAATGCATAAATCTAGGTTTGAAAAAGGATGGTACAGGAATGACAAGGAAGGTATGCAGGTACAAGAGGTTTGAAAATCATTTCTGTTCAGCCTGTCAGTGATTCAAACCGCATGCTGTAGTTCCAGAAAGGAAACACAAGTATATACTGTAGGTAGCATGTGCTGATTTTGGGGGCAGGTGTTTGTTTTTTAAGGAAGTACTATTCATTCCAGAAGTTTTTTTTTAAAAGTAGTCTCTCTATGTACCATATGATTGCTTATCCCAGTATACTGCCTCCCAAACTGCAGGCAATGCTTGAGGAAAGTTGAGACATTAAACTTCTGAGAGTAGTACATTGTGCGTGTGTATTAACAGCCTGCTGCTGGCATACTATTATTTAGCACAGATGTTTCCTGTAATTGTGATATATTGGGAAAATCTATAGTGTTCTTTTCTCATCTATGTATACTGACAATATGGGAAAAGTTAACAGATTGTAAAATCAGGAGCTGAAAGCAGATTGTTCCCATAATTCCTCAAACACATCGCATTTCTTTGCGCTACCATGAATCAGTTAAGTGCTTGTGTAGATTAATAAAAGGACAAAGCAGAACTGAACTGAAGCAAATTTGATTTAAAGAGGTTTTATGATTTCTTATTAGACAGGCTTATTTAGTAATGCTGCGGTTACTCATAAATAAAGTTCTGCTTTAAATGTTGTTGGGTGTGGACTTTTATATTTTGTTGGCTAATTTCAGAAATTAGCAAGTACTTTTTTGTTTCCTTTTTTTCTATTTAGCTAACAGTTATACGTAGAGTTGTATGTCTGTTCACAATATGCAGAAGAGTTAATTTTAAGCGAGATCCAGGATCTCTGTCCTTGAATTTATTCCCTTGGTTATAAGGTGCCATTTAAAATGATTCACAGACACAAACAAGGGAAGCAGGTTACACCTTCAAAAAGAGTAGGCTGTCTCAGACAATGAAACTCATAGAAGCTCTAAACAGTAATTCTTTAGTCACGTGTTGCAAAGCAAGCGTGCTTTTGTGGGTGTTTTATATAGGGTGATTTAGAAGGATTATGGTATATTCTTAAAAATAATCTTAATTAGATTTATGTTGCAATGATGAAGGAGTAAGTTGAAACATAAGTAGCATTATGAAAATCTTTAAGTACCAATTAACCTACTAAAGCTGTATCACTGTACAATGTCTTTATGTAGCAGAAGACTTACAGTTCACAGTTGTTCTTTATTTTGTGGCTCTTACGTTATGCTGTTAGAGAGGTTCACTTTAGAAGTGAGATACCCTACCCTAATTCTAGAGTCGTATACTTTTCCAAACTTCAAACTGTGTCTTCCTTGACTGCTTATAAGTAGATGCAGAAAAGTTGTCACTCAGGCTTGGTTTTGATTTGTATTTTAAAATAGATTTAGTTAATTTTAGCTAAAGAACATGAATCATTAATCTTTATTCTTATAACTTAAATATGTTTTTCATCACCCTCTTCCCCCACCTTGAGATTTTGGAATGAAAATGTGCAAAATCATAGCTCAATCTTCAGAAATAAAAATGTCATTTTGTAACAAAAAGTAACCACTTTTTTAACCTACTGAAACAGAACATTTCTGTATTTTTCAACTTTCTCTAAATGTTATGTAATAAAGATAGGAGGAAAAATTAGAATAGCTGTTTCTTCCATTTTATAGTCTTCGAGATGCAATAATCTGTATAGAGCTCTTTATTTTATTTTATATTATATTATTTTATATTATTTTATTTTGTTTTGTATTATTTTATTTGTACTCCAGTAAAGGCCTAGAGTTACAAATGAGCTAAAGTAGTCTGCTTAAGTTGGGCATAAGTGAAAAATATAAACACAAAGCCACAGGAGAAAATTCTGGATTTATTAAAGATCTACTTATAAACATTTTACATTTGGGGTTAATTTGCATCCACATAAAAAGAGGAGAAAGCATTAACACTTCTATGTAGTGACATCTCCTTGCTGGGACTAGCACTAGATTAAAACATCAGATGATAAAGGAGCATGTCATCCTTATGCCATCAAAATTGCTTTTGAAGCTGTATAGGAATTTCTTAGTGACATAAGTCAAATCATTTTTTTCTCTCCCTTTCAAAAGTTCTTATCATTTCATTAGCTGATTTGTTCAGAGAGTTTAATTTCACATGATATGCCCTTTAACTTTGAGAAGAGATTTTGCAGAGCTTTTAGAAGTAAATTTGGTTGATATTTTTGAGCCCTGGATGCCTTAATAACCAATATTTGAAGGAGATGATTGCCATGTTTGAAGAAACAGTAAATTCTCGTGGGGATTATAATGGAGCTTTTGGTAAGAAATGAACTGGAATTACTAACTTCTACCAAAAAAAAAAAAAAAAAAAAAGCATTTTCATTAATCTACTGAGCTAAGTAACGCAAAACACTCTCACATTACCTTCAAGGATTTTTCACAGCTTGGAATAGAGACTGTTACTCTGATACAGATCTTTAAAATGGCCTTCAGAGTATTTTTTTTTAGGGAAAGGCATTATGAAGGAAGACTTTCAAGTTTCTGTTTCACAGGTATGTAATAACTGATTAACTGTAACTGATAACTGAAGATCCCTAAAAATCCAATTTCTGGCTTTTTTTTTTTAAATATTTTTGTTCTTTTTTGTGACCATTTTTATTATAGTGATAATCTGATTACTCACCCCATGCTACAAGATGTAATATAAACAAAAGCCCCCAACCGAATAAGCTTACAGTCAATAGAAGAAATGTAAGGTATGAAGTAGTTTAAAGTATGACAAAGAGAATAATCGAATTTTCTAAGTGGTATTGGGCAAAATGCTGGAGAAGTTGTTGCAAACTGTCCATGTCTAGCCTTCTCTTGGCCTGCATAGCTTTGCATATTGGAAGCCTTTTCAAGATTAATGAGGTTGCTTATGAAGTCTTCCTGAGATCAGAAGCTATGCCCTATTAGTGTTGCATCTATTCTTCTACTCTGCAGGACCAATAACAATTGAAGAATTTCTGTGCTAACTTTTTTCATAGACAGAAAAGCCCAGTGGAAACAGTGAAAATATAAACAAAATTGAGGTTGTCTCTGTTTTGGCTTACAGAAATTAAAGCGTTTGCACTATCTACCAGGCACCATCTGTGCTTCCTCAGTATGCTCAGCACCTACCCAAGAAACACCCCATTAAGCTGCATGGTTGTAAGCTTATTAGATGCTGAAAACCTTGTAGTTTTTAACCCTCTGCAACCCTGTCATTTTAAAAATGAAGGAAAAAGTATTCATTTCAGATTTTATCCTGGTAACTTTCATCAATAGTTGCACAATACTTGCAAAAATCTTGATTTTATGAAGAATATTCTGGATCTTCTAGTCAGCTGTACCAAAGCCATTTTTCAGGGAATTAAGGGGGGGGGGGGGGAAATTGTAGCCACCATAAAGCAGAGCATTCTTAGTTCTGTACTTCTCATTCCCTTTTTTATGATAGTCATATGACTGCTGTATCTATCACTTATTTCTGATTCTTCCAAACTCATTTACCCAGGAATTCATACCAGTTAGTTCTAGGGCTGATATTGATGCATTCACCATGCTGGTTCAATTTCCTGATGTGCTTCTTGATATTTCGGCTTGTGCATACTAGGCAGTCACATATTTGTATTTTGAATATTTACAGTAAACGTGCTGCAAGACTGTGGCAGAACTTATTTCCTTCCTTTATGCCTAGTTTCCCTCCCTTATCCAATCTGTCTGTCTCTTCTGATTTTTGGGCATTGCAACTCTGCATTTGATATAGCGCCTGTCAGTCTTTTAACCTGTAGATGCTACTGAAATATGAAATACCCGTGGTCATAAGCTCAAGTGAAGATGTCTGTTTTATAAGGGAGGATAGGAGTAATGTCTAGGCTTTCACATGAAAATCTTTGTGGCTGTGTGGCATAGCATAGTAGTGACCATGAATTTTGTGGATGGCCGTGGATAAGTAAGTGTTGTTTAGTTTTATTGTATTGGCAGAATTTTATTCGCATTG